CTCCTGGAGTTTGCTGTTTCAGTTCAGAGACGAAGACGAAGAGGAGAGGAAGACGAAAAGTTTTCTATCGGAGATAAGCTTGAAAGTTTGAAACAGCGCTTTGAGAATGAATAATGAGAGAAGCTTGAAAGTTTTTCTCGGGTTTGGAAACAGTGCAAGTATGGGTCAGGTAGGCGAAAAGTTTAAAATAATAACAAACCATTTCATAAAACGACACTATTAATAGGAAGCGCCCTAGTATGAAACATTATACGGCACTATAGGTTCACACCGCCCTATAATATTACTTTACACGACGCAAGGTTTTAATGAACCGCCGTTTTTATATCGAATTACACGAAGCATTTTTCTTCAAAAAGATGAATCATGTCATTTCCAATTTACCCAACGACCTTATACTCAATAATAACGACCACGTCGTTTTAATTACTCATACCGAAGTGTAACTTTTTTAATTACACAATAAATTAGTTTTCCAAAAAATTACAACGTCGTTTTTATATAGCGTCGTTGGTAATTAATTTATACGACCTTATTTTAGTTTTCAACGACGTTTATGTTTTCATATAAACGTCGATAATGTAAAAAAAACCGACGTAGTATATAATATTTGTTTATAAATAAGGGTTTTTCTCTCTTTCTGTCGTCTTCATTTTTCAATTAGGGTTTCAACTTTTTCTCACCTCTCTGTCTCACCTCGCTTTCATTTTTCAGTTTGGATTTTGATGTGTGTGCGCGTTTGTGTATCTGAAAGACACAAACACGCACACATCATCTAAAAAATTGTCTTTCTGCACAGAAGGAGAACAAGGTCTGCATCAGCCCTCTTTCTCAGCTCCTCCATGATGGGGTTCTCTGAGTTGATCTTCATGGTCTTCTTTCTCGACATGTACCCAGCCGCTCTGTTATCCCTCAAGGCCTGAGCCTTCATGATTCTTTCCATGTTGGCAGTCCATCCATAGTCGCCTGTCACCAAACAGCAGGGAGAGTCTACCACACGGTCAGACACCACAACCTTCTCCACTCTGTCACCCAAAACATCCTTCACAACCTTGCAGAGTCCCTCAAACTTCTCCTTCAACTCTTCCTTCTTCTTTGCCTCGTCTTCACTCTCATCAAGCTTGAGACCTTCCTTGGCGGCTGAGACAAGCTTCTTGCCCTCAAACTCCTTGTGAGAGTAATCGGGCCATCATCCACTTCTAAAACATTGCCTTTGTTCATTCTGGTTATGGTAAGAAACGAATAATGGTTCCATTATGATGAGGAACAGAGTTCATTCTGGTAATGATAGACGAATAATGGTAAAAAATTTGTACGTCGTTAATTTAACAAACCGTCGTGGTTAGTACAATTATGCGACAGTAGAGTTATGGATACCGTCGTAGTATAGTATAATTAAAAAGTCGATAAATTTATATTTACAGTCGTGGTAACTTAATTTAAAGCGGCGATTTTTTTTGTAATTAACCGTCGTAGATTACTTTGAATTTATGCGTCGCTGACTAAGAAAATTGGGTCCTGTTTATTAATTAATTAACACAGCGTCTTATTTTTATATCGTCGTCTTTACTTTATACGGCGTTGATTTCATAGATGCAGTCGTTGTTTTTAGGTTCAGATTTTAACTCTGAAAATACCTTTGTAATAAGACGACGCTTTTTTAATTTGGTGCGTCGTTGTTTAAAAATATCTATACGTGTACCGGTTTTTTAGGTGTTTAAAGTATGTTTCTACGACGGATTTCTATTACCGTCATCTTTTAATAAACAACGACGGTTTTTTGATATACCGTCGTTGTTTACTGGTCGTCTTTTGCCCTTTTTGTAGTAGTGCATGGCAACTTGATCATCATCTGCTTCCCACTCCCTTTCTTCTTTAGCTCATTTGCGCATTCTTTCTTCATTTTCTCGCTCGGCTTTCTCCAACAACCTCATTGTGTAAGACATTGAAAGTAAAATGTGTTTTGTAAAATTTGAAAAATGAAAGGATAGAGAGGATATATGGATGATTGTTGTGAGTTGAGGCTGTGGTTTTATAGAGGGATTTAGAAGATAGAGATGACACATGGCACAATTGTAGCAACTGAAAATCTTATCCGAATTTTGAGATGTGAATTTTATAATAAATATAGACATGTGGCAACCGAAAATTTTATCTGAAATCTAAGATGTGAATTTTATGATAAATATGGATACGTGGCAATCAAAAATCTTATCCAAAAATTTTATCCGAAATATGAGATGTGAATTTTGTCATAAATATAGACACTTGGCAACCGAAAATCTTATCCAAATTAATAATTTAAGTATAAAAAATAAAATTAATTTAAAGTGAATAGTAATTGCCTTTTGTCATGGCAATATGTGGAAACTCAACTTGCCTATTGCAAGAGTTGACACTATTCACATGAATAGTAACTTGCCTCCCCTTGCCCTTTGCCATGATAAATGAGTGGAAATGTTCTTAACATAGTATAGAAAATGCACTGGTGCTCTTTATCCCTAGTTTTTTTTTTTTTTTTAACATTTCTAACAAAAAATTGTTGCTTAATTGCTACTGAATTAATCAAATATACCGTATTAAACTTTGAATACGAGTAAATAGTTCATGTCAGTTGTTTGGTGTCAACTTGTATTATTTAATTACCTGACTATTTTAAATGATTTGGACTATTAATACTCTACTTACCTGACTAACTAATACAACTCACATACCCCAGTTTAGATAATATACATTTAATTATAAAGCCAGGGAAAAGAAAACACGCGTGAAACATCATACGCTTTCATCTTCTTCTCCTTATAATTCTCCTATGCACGAGGCACCAATCAGCAGTTGGGCGGGTTGACTCTCGCTTCGTCGCCTTCGATGACGTCCAAGTTCGTGAAATTGCAATTCCATGGGCTGGTGGGGTTTGCATACCCAATTGAAGGGAGAAGTCCCCAGGATAAAGAGAACACCACAAAGTCAATTCTGCAATCAACGGATATTTCTCCACCTATCGAGGGAGATTTTAACAAGTCCAAGTTCGGCTCTGACGTTCTCTCCTTTCAACAAGTCCGTTGTTTGCTGCTTTCATCAATTTTCTTCATTTTGATTTAAAGTTTTATACTTTCTTCATTTTTTAAGTTTTATGTTTGTTTATTTATATGCAAATTAATATGTTTCAATGTTTGTTTGGTTGGGTTGCTGTAGATGTCAGAGCAATTCAACCAGGATTTGACTCTATCTGGTAAAATCTCAACTGGCCGTTTCTATATTGCATTTGAGTTTACAGGAAGATGGCAAAAAGGACGATGTCAGCACAAAAACCATCAGAAAATAAGTTTTTTTTTAATATATCAAAATGTGAATTTTTTTTTTTCCATCAATAAACATCCCAAGTTCCACAATTATGAGAATGAGTTAGTTGATGTAATCTTGTCTCATAGATCCTTATACCTAATTAAAACATATATATATACAGTTTTTCTCCTATTCGGATGTCCGCACGTTATTATCATGCGGATCTTATTGTAAACAGGCAGGAAAACAGATAGGGATAGTACAAAATACATGGTGTCCACATGATAATAACGACCGGATGTCCGCATAAGAGAATTTCTGTATATATATATATATATATACTAAAATTGCTGATATATTTCGTAACAGCAAATGGTACAGTAGGTAAACATCTAACAATTTATCCTTTTTGTATTAAAAAAAAATAGGAACCGTTGATCTGATCTAACGGTGCAAAAACTTGAAGTATCCATACTATAAAGTACGTTAGAATTTCCCTTACCATACAGTACAATATCTGTTTAATTATAAAATAAAGGCTTTTTATCATAAATGGTCCTTAACGTTTACGAAATTATCACGAATGGTCCTTAAGGTTTTTTTGTGACATTAATAGTCCCTAACGTTTAGGTTTTTTATCACAAATGGTCCCTGCCGTTAAAACATTCTGTTAAGTGTGACGTGGATGATAAGTGGAGCCCACCTGTCCAATTACATTGTGACATATGGATAAAAAAATAATTAAATAAATTTTTAATGAAAATTCCTTTTATTTTTCTGCAATTTTTCATCCCGCTTTCTTACTCCGTCTCTCTCTCC